CGGGGCCGCCCTTGCTCCTGGGGGCCGGGCTGCAGGATCGTCGCGGACCCCGACTTTCAGAGGCCCGGCCCTGACCTCTGATCTTCGGGGACGCAGTTGTATGTTGTCAGCTGTTTTCTTCCTTTGCCCTCGCAGCCTCGGCCTTGCCCCCCATGAATAATCGCTTGCTTCGCTGCTGTTCCTGGGGGCTCACGTGTGTGAGACAGGCCGGTGCCGGGCCTGAGGTTTCTCATTTCCCAGACGGGAAATGGCGCTTTCCCTCTATTCGAACTTCACAACAACAGTAGCAACACAAGGTGTGTGTGCAAATTAATCCCCCCAAGAGGACGTTTTGGGATTTGACTACGCCCGGCAGTGGACTCTCTTTTCGGAAGTTTCTGGAAGGAATGCTGGGCGTGCTGGGTTTGGAGGGGGCTCTGCTGTTGCAGGAGGGGTGGGTCCGCGTGACCGAGGAAGGCGGCGGTGACGAGCTGTCAGCGCCGGCCCGGCGGGAGGTGAAGTGGAGAGGAGGTGTAGGGGAGGCGGGCGGGCTGGGAACAGGCGCAGCCTTGGGATGAAGACCACATCCTTGGGGGCCGGCCTTGAAATACACAGCTCCCCGCACCTCACGTGTAGTCTGCCTCTCAGACATTGCATTGCCTTCATTTTTCTCTCTCCATGATTTTATCTAAATGCTTCAGAAAAATTAATGTCGCATGTCTTGATTATCAACGGAGTGTGCCTGCAAAGACCATCTTTTGTTTTTCCTCCCCCCTGTGTGACAAGTGAAAAATGTCTTTGGCCATATTACTCTTTTAGAAAAGACATTTAAGCCGCGTGAACAATTTTAGGAATCAGATCAAGTAAACTCAGGTTAAAAAGCAAAGGAGACCGGGACAGCGGGTTTGGGTTTTCAATTGCTTGTGCATTTGACGGCTTCATGCATTTCTAAAGGGATGGAAATGGTGTGTGATTGGGATCAGCAGGAAGATGTCTGGAGCTGGAAAGGAGCTGACGGGCAGCCTGCTGATTTCTGAGAGCAGTATTCTGGAATGAGCCCAGACACAGGGTGAAACTGTGCTCCTCACCGGAACTTTAGTTTTGTTGAATAAACAGGAGTTGTGGGTTCCTTACATGACTGAATCTTAGGATACCTCATGGGAAAAACAGGACTGAACTTGCACCATGTTTCTAGAGCTAACTGTTTTAATGGATTGGAAATAGATTGTTTGCATTTACATTTTTAATCATCTAAGATCCACGACCTACTCTGGGTCTTTGAGTAACAGAAGACTTGTTTTTGGTTTTTAATCAGTAAGTCAGACTGTTGGTGCCTGAGACAGACAGCTTTCTAAAAGTGCATCTCTGAGGAAGCCGTTTTTCTGATGTTTTTCTAAGTTGGGTAACTTAAAATATACACTCTAGATCAAATAATTAAAAATGGGTAGCAGAATTGCACAGTTTGGAAAAATAGGTCAGACAATGTACAAATGAATTTAGCTAATCAAACCATTTCTTTTTTCTTTTTTAAAATGCATTTTATTGAAATATAATTTATGTACAGTGAAATACACAAAACTAAAGTGACATGAATCAATGTCAAACCATTTCTTAAAAATAGATTTCTAAATCAGACCATTCAAAAATACAGAGGTTTAAGCCAGAACATTCAAAAATATTTTCTTTCAGTCATGCTGTTTAAATATTGCACACTTACATTAGCCTGACCGTTTAAAATCTGAGATCATTAATAGCCATTGAGTCTTTTAAGATATCCTTGTAGTTAGTCAGTTCAGAGGATCTAAAAAATAGATTTTGCTGTCAAACAGCTTGCCTAGGTTAGAATTTTAAAAGATAACACATTTATATACCTTAATTGTGTACGTTAAACACATAACATGAAAACCACATCTGTGGTGAGGTGTTTAAGGGTGAATTATACCCGTTTGCGGACAGGTAGCTCTGCAGAAAGCCTTTATATGTGTCTGCACACATGCACGCACACACACTCACAAATGGCCAGATGTTAACATGACAAGGTATAATTTTTCAGCTTTTCAGGAAGTTGGAAAAGTTTTGTAATAAACATTTTTTGGGGAAAAGGTCATGTCTGACAGACAATTTAAAAGAACTTTACTGAGTGATGCAGTATCTTTACTGCAGTTAAAAGATTTTTTAACCTTATTTCTAACTTGTAAATTTCAGAAAAAAATCACGTCTCAAATCAAATACGTCTCCCAAATTTGAATATGGACTGAGTATTGAATAATATTGAGCAATTATTCATTACATTGATTGTAAGTTAATTAAGTGTGTTATTTTTGTTAGGGAGGCCTGCTGAGGTGTTTAGGGTCGGATGTCACAATGCTTGTAACTTCTTTTATAAATACTTAAGCCCCCTCCAAACAGAGGATGCAGTTAAGGCAAAGTATTAGTAATTGTTAAATGTTGTGATGGCTGTGAGGGATGACAGACCGTTTTCCTTTTCTGCATGTTTGAAAAAGTATAAATAAAACTCTAAAAGAAATTTGTATGTTAAAAACAAGTAGACCAAAGAGATAATTTTAAAATATATTTCTAAAACTCAGGTTACTAAAATGAAATCACTCCCTGAGAGTTTAACTTCATTCAGACTCTCCTAGCCTGAGCCTCTAAAGCCTAGTTCGCAGGAAACGTTGAGGAAGTTGATTTTGCTGCGTGTGGCTGTTCTCACACAAATGAAAGCAAGTCATGCCTGAACTAAGAGATTTCGAAAGAATTGGAACCTGCATTTTCACATCCTTGTTTGAAAAAGAAGCTGTGGAGATGACTGTGAAGTGGGGTGTGCGTGACCCCACGCTGCCCGAGAAGCACACCTGAGCCAGGACAGTCAGAGAATTTCAGCCTGCATCTTTGAACATCGGAGTTTGAGGGAAAAAGCTAGAAGGTGGTTGGGGTGCACACACACTGAAACAGGTAGTGGCCACAGGTGGGCAGGCATTCCGGGGGTGACGGCTGTGGTCAGACTGCAGGCACCGAGCAGAGCCCTTGCTCTGGTCTTGCCACCAGCTTTCTACGGTCTGTGACAGCAGCAGGAAATCCCGGCAAGTCCCGCTGCCTCTTGCAAACAGGCTTTGCCTGCGTGAACCGCGGAGATGTCCTTGTCCCCTCGCCCGTGCTCCTTCTCCTCCCCGGGCCTCTTGCGTGGTGACCCTGCAGCCCCGCTGTTCCCCAGCCCCGTTCCTGTGGATGAGGGCTAGTTTTCGGTGTCCTTTTTACAGGGCAGCACTAGGACTGAGGACAGTAGTGCTTCCCGGTGTTCTTGGTTGTGTTAATATGAGCGA